TTAGGGCTGGGCGATATGAAAAACATCAAATATCATGGTATTTTTTACCAAATACCTTGATATCAGTATTGCCATCATATTTTAGGGTTGACTATTGGTTCTCTCAATTAATAGATTTTTCTGTTAAAAAAATCAAATAACATCTAAAACAGTCTCGTAAGTTCAGAAAATTACATCACTTTACCGTAATGCTAGATCTGCAGCGTTTAATCAATTAGTTGTTAACTATGAAATGAATCACCTAATTTAATAACCGATTAATTGGTTTGAGTAATTTTTTAAGAAACAGTCAAAATTTTCTGATTCCAGCTTCTTAAATGTAAATATTTTATGGTTTCTTTACTCCTCTATGACAGTAAACTGAATATCTTTGGGCTGTTGACAAAACAAGGCATTTGGGGACGTCATCTTGTGCTTTGGGAGACACTGATCAACATTTTCTGACATTTTATAAAACAAACAATTAATCAGTTAATCGAGAAAATAATCAGCAGATTCATTGACAATGGAAATAATCATTTAGTTGCAGCCTTATGTCATGCAGCCTTTCAAACCAGGAAAAGACAACACTTACACAATGAATTGATATCCAAAATCTAAGACGGTATCTATTCTCATATCAGGATGTCAGCCCTGTTTCAGATGTCATCTTCCTTTATGGTATCAGTAATGAAAACCTTTCTATTCCTTTATAGTGAGTTGTGCATGTTTTTAGTGTATGTGTCCAGAGCCTGTGTGTTTGCAGCCATGGGCTACATGTGCTTGAGAAACCTGACAGAATTCATGACTTGTGCCCTATTTGTGCTCACCTGTATCTGCGTCTGCGCTACATCTAAACACACATGATGTTGCCTACATGAATATCATTCCTTTCCTCTCACTTTCATTGTCTCTTTCAGGTCTCTCTTCTGTTAGCTGCTTCCTCCTCTTATTCGTCCTCCCTCCCTTTTCTTCCATTCCATATTTCCAAATCCCTCTCCAAGAGCACATTGTGTGTGTGTGCGTGTGTGTGTGTGTGCCGGCATCATTGTCGTACACACAAATGTGCACACACACACATGCACAGAACGCAGACTTAGATCGAGCAGATGGTGACCGTATTCATTTTTTCCCCGACTAACATTAACCATTCATTATAGACAGCAGACTAAGCCAATCCCACATCCTCCCCCATGCAACATGTACACACACATCCACACACATGTCCAATAATTTTGCCATCAGCCCATTGACAGTCCCAAAATCTTGTGTGCCCCTCAGTCAGTGTTGATACTCTCTCCTTCCAGACGGTCCCAGCTCTGCTCTGACTCAATCTGTTGACATTTCTGATTCCGTCCCCATGACTCAAATTTCTCCTCCTTCACTTCAGCAGCCCACAACAGGAATAAGGAGCATCTGACGCTTCCCTCTGCCTCCCCTTCCATCCAATCCTGCAATTTTTTTTTGTCTTTGTTCCTTCCACTTTCACTGTCTGGCTTCTTCTGGCAACTTCCCCATAAGTAAGAGACACAATCACTCCGTTTTCTTCCTTTGTTTCTCTTTCCCTCTGTGTCTCATTTACCTCCTCTCGTCATTTCTCTCTCTGTAATCAAATAGAAAAAAAAACCTAAAACCTGTTAGGCGGTAAATCAGGTTTAATCTCTGGCTTGAAGAAAAGATGAACATTAATCCACATCTGTCCATACAAATGTTTACCGCTCATATTTCAGACCTCATTAGGCCCTGCTGTTAAGCTGCATGCTCACGGTTATACATGCATGCTGCAAGAAAAAATAGAAGAGGGTGCAGGCAGAGAGGCTAATGTGTGTGTAAAAATGTGTTTTTGTGTCAAAGTTTGTGTGCTCGCAGACATGCACGCTCACCTCCCTGGTTGCCTCCCCTGTAGTGAAAGCCATCTGAGGAGGATTTGGCCCTCTGCCTCTCTGTGTTGTCTGAAGGGTGCAGAGGCAGAGAACTCTCACACACTTAAACTAATGAGAGTTTTAGATGCAGTCAGAGAACAGTGTGAGTTAGTGTTCCTCAGCCACCCGCTGGACATCAATCGCCCTGCGGCCTGAAGGCTTTACTCAGTTCCTTTTGCTAAACTGCACCCATCGCTGCCCTTTCCACACACTTGCACAGACCCACATGCACAGACACAGTCGAGGCATCCTGAGGAGTCGAAACTTTCTGTGATCTACAGTGGAAAGAAATTTACCAACATAGTCTGCAGCAGTCTCTTCCAGACAGAAGACTTTTTTTAAATGACAGTATTGTGATTTTTGCAGCAAGAAATGGACACAAATTTGAGTAGCTCTAAAAAAAAAAATTAAGGTTGTTTTAAAGGTACACTGTGTAGTTTCTGACCACTGGGTGTGCTATGGAGCAGTGTTGTTAAAAGTGGATCTCTGTTTTGTTTGTATCTTACACATGAGCAGTTGATGCAATATGCAATACTAACACTCAAGCTTCAACGTCCAGGGCTTGCCATTCGGGTAGTTCCCCAAATGGCCACTTGAGGCTTGCTCCAAGAGCAAATCACTTCATGTTAAAATGCCAAACTTTACAGCAGAAATAGCCTGGTACAAAAAAAACAGTATTGGTCTCCTATCAATTAAGGGCATGGCTGATTTGAGTGACAGGTGGGTGCCGTCCAAGTTGCTACCATAGTTCAGTGTAGGTTAGATAGGCTAAAGTACCCATGGCATAACCCCAGATTCACGGAATGTGGAGTATAGACTGAATCACAATGTTTGTTTACAATCACTACCAGGTAGAAAACTCCAGCATCACATACATAAAATCATATGGCGCTGAACAGATGCTGCCTCAACTGGTTAGTTTTGGCTACTTACAAAAGTCCCACCTAAAAAATAAAAAAGTACCAGTTTAAGTGTACCCTATATAGCTTTACTTGTGACAGACAGACAGCCTTTTCCAATGGGGAATGGAAGCCATTATCTCAGAGCCACCAGACTCCATTGGAAAAAACAGGAATTTTACTCAGCAGAACACTGGAGTTGCTGGTCTACCGCGACCTCACTTGGTTAGGGTGTAAGGTAAAGCTGAGCAAACATTACACTTACACACACAGTACACACACAGCACAGTAAATAAGCAGAAACATTAGATAGGTCTGTATCTTATAAATGTTACAGTTACAGCTGAACATGACAACAGAAATAAATAAGTCTGCCACTTGTACAGATTTCCGCAATTGAAATCGGTTACCAGTTGTCTGCCTGAAGTGATTGCTGTTGTTAGCACTACATCATGGTGATTCAGCCTATAGGTGTAGCTGTAGCTGTTGTCATTTCAGTGTGTCTTCAGAGCATGAACATTAACTGTAATGTTTTGGTCACCGGATAAAGTGTTGTTCAGCATTTAGCTGTACGGAAAGACCCTATAAGGAGTAGGATGTTTAGTTTTTCCAGTAAGGAGGCCTAAAATTTTTTTAATGGTTTTAAGCCAAGCAACAATTAGCATTAACATTAGTATTATCAAAGACTATACAACAAACACTGACTTTCACCCGAGAGAGCAGTGTTCGCATCCTGTAAGATCCTAATGCCAAACCCTTTTCTTTTTTCCTAAACCTAACCATACGCTTTTATTGCCTAAACCCAACCATGTGCGTTTGTTGCTGAGGAAAAAAAAACGTCAATTCACGTTGTTGTACAGACATAGTGCATTTATTTTGAAAGAGACTGTATGTAAACATTAAATTTCCTGTGAAAACAGAAGTGTATTTTGAAAGAAGACAATGCAAATAACAGGCAGAACTGGACACAGTGTCCCAGAACGTCCACAGCCAATGCTCCCGGGGTACCTTGCATGTCGTATGTGGACATGGAAAGTCCATGACCAAATGTGGATATGTGACTAGGTCGGAGTGAGAATGTGTTGGTAAAGCACCACGCTAACTAAGCTAGTAGCTAGCGTTAGAGTTAGCTCCTCCATCATGTCCAAATATAGTCCCTTCTGGCTTCAGAAAAAAAACAAAATGGCGACATCCAAAATGTTGAACTCGAGGCTCCAAACCAGTAGGTGATGTCACAGTGGCTACGCCCATTAGTTTATACTGTGTGCTGCCACCATTACTGCTAAACAGATGGCGGCAGCAAAAGCAGTTAAGAGGAAGACTGCAAGCTAGCAAACACTGATGTAAAGCCTGATTTTATATATTCAGAAAATCAGCTTAGAAAATGTTTTATGAGGAAGGAAATATTTTGCTAAGTAATACCAAATGTAAACATAACTTAATTTACACGGAAACTCCCCAGAGCAGATTTAAATTGTATCATTTTACAGGTTAATGTATTGCAATCCAAAACTCAAGGTGGTAAGTGTTTTGTTGAAACAGTTTCAGTGAGGTGTTGCATTGACAGTGTGTAACACTGATGTATTGAATTGCATTAAATGTCAAGATCTCTTTTTTGGACATAATGACAGAAACACCATACTGATGCATTGTGAATTGTCACATAAGGATCAAAAACTACAGGCCCTAAAAATGTTAAAAATGAATCAGACCTCACTTAGAGTCTCATCAGAAACTGAATATAATAACCTTCATGTTAACTGCACAGCAAATCTATTGTGTTGTATTACATTGTGCATGTATTTATATTCTCTACCCACACATATACATAATAATATTATTCCCATTATGACACAGACACAGTGGTTGCCTTACATGTTGGCTTTATCACAATAAACTGTCATTATTTTCTTTATTGCACTCTCAGGTCATGCACCTTTATGTGTTGACTGTTGACTGAAATTCCTATTGAATCATTTATCAATTACAGGGCTATGATATTATGGGACACAACCCCTGCACGGGTTAGCCACATATATCACAGGTGTGTCAACATGCATTTGACTGTGTCTTTATCTCTTCATTTTGTGTGCCGTGTCTATATTTTTTTTTCAAAGTACAAACCCTCCCCCCAAAATACTGTAAAGACAAAACACATTAACACAACCCCTGTCTGTCCTTTTGTCTCCTCTCCATCCAGCTCCTCTTCTGTCAGTCACCCCGCTGCCCTAAAACTGTCCTAAATGACTTAATCTACAGGGCGACAGTACTCCACCAGAGAGGCTGCTGAGTGAGGAGCGTTTCTATGCGCTGTAAGGGGATTGCTGTAATTACTGGGATCTGTGCACCGTATTTATCTTTTCAAGGGACGGGTGATCCTGCCATAAAAAGCCCAACATTTGGCAGTTAACTAATGCACACCATTAGATTGATTGTGCTGGATTTGTGTTTGTGTGTGTGTATGTGTGTGTGTGTCCCATATTTCCCTACTGCTGCCATGCTCTGTGATGTGTGTTAAATAATGCTCGGTTGTTCTCTGTAATCCTGATTAAATGGGGGTTAATGTGTGTCTGTTATACTTTTTCACAGACTCTCCAGCCGTGACCTTCCACGACGAGAGAGAGAGAGTTTGCATAAATGAACTGGCTTACGAGACATGATTAGACGGAGGGAGATGCAGCGAGACAAGGCAGAGGTACGAGGTTCAGGTGGCATCAGTGTCTGTATTTGCTGCCTTGATGTCTCAGTACGTGGGAACAACAGAGACAGAACGACTGACATTTTGTCGAAAAATAAATAAAAATCATTGTCTGATATGCTCTTTTCTTAAACATAAACCTCAGCAGCTTTAAAAATCTGACATTAGGAGTACAATAAAAGGGAGAAAATAATGAAAGAAAATGAAATTATCACTCTTCTTGGATGTGGCAGAGAAACAAACAGATTGACCACGCTCTTCTTTCCAAAATCCTCCCCCGTGCAGGCAACATGTTCCTCACGTCCATCTTGGCTGTGTTTTTTTCAGATATTTGGTGTCAGTGTGTGTGTGTGTCTGTGTCTGTCTTTGTGTGTGCGTACGTGTAAATGTGAGCATGGGTTTGTGTGTGTGCGGGTTGTGAAGACGGAGGCTGCACCAGGCTGTCCAGCCTACACACAAACCGTCCCGTCGTTAAATCACCTTACTGTTCCATCCACCATCCACTGCCCTGAGCATGTTTTTCATTTGATGTGTGTTTTGGTTGAAATGAAAGACACACGGGGAGAGGAGAGTGAAAATAAAAATGCAGGGGTATCGAGACAGGAGGCATAAACACTGGATGTCAAAGTAACTTCGGACTGTGCTCTCTTTGCATTATTAAAACTAACTTTTGCCATCTTTGTCACTTCAAACTCTTGCGCACACACACACACTCATTTAATCTCTCTACTCTGTCCTCTTTCTCCCACTTGTTCCTTATTAATTTTTATGTTTCTGACCTCGGAAACGGGCATGAGTACACAGATATATTACAGTAATTATCTAATTTTACAGTGCCATTAAATGTCACAGAAATCCAGAGTTATGGCATTAATACAATAAAGAGGGTTTGGGCCAGAGGGATGATAACTTAATACTGGACCAGTCTGTAACAAACTGTCTGCGATGGATACTTGCCAGTTTTTTTTATAACAACATAGTCAGTGTCTTCTTCTGTTGAGTTAATTTGCAACTGCAAGCAGGATAAAATAAATCATTTAAATCAAGTGAAAATCATGATACAGAAAGTTTCAAAAGTCAAATGCAAAGTTTGTTAAATTCCATGTGTGCTATTAAAACCCTTTTATATTTAGCTGAATATTTCAAGCACAATTCTGCACAAGGGACAAAACATATATTTCACATCCTCATTTCTGCACTAGGACAACTATGTTTTCCACTTGAATTCAAATTTACGACATATTATATTTAGATTCTCCTCATTTTCTCGGATCCTGGCCGGCAATAGTGTTATTTACTGTGGCTCTGACTGAGGCACATTTGGGAGCAGTTCAAATTCAAAGCTGTGCCAATCTACTCGTTCCTTTTTTTGTCTTTTTTTTTTCACCCCCTTCCATCGCCCTCTATTCCTCTCACTCACTCTCCACTCATTTCTACCTACCTCTGTCCCAGTAGATGGAGATGTGAAATATTTAAACACACTTTGTTGTTTGGGGACAATGCACTTCAGCAGATGGGCCATCGCCACACAGACCCCAATGTATGCAAATCTCCATACAAAGCAGCCCAGGATGTTTTCAATATAACACAAGTGCCTCAGGCCCTGTTTTAATCCCTCTTTACCCGCAGCCAATGCACTGTTTCATCCAGTCAAACGCCTTAAGCGATATGTCAACTTGGACATCTGGCCACATAACTGAACCCAAAAAAAAGTGTGCATGTGTGTTTGGAAGGGAGCATGTTTGTGGAGGGTTAGAGGGAGAGATAAAGGTGATACAGTGCATGCTGTCGGACTGAAATATCCAGAGATGAAATTATCAGTGGCATCATTAGTGGCAGAGTACATCAAAGGACCAGGAAGTGGAGTTTCTGAGGTGGATTCTTCGCCCTCCACACCAGGGGAAGCAGGTGCCAGTGCTGCTTTCTTCATTGTCTCTTAACTTGTTTTGCTGTTTTCTCACTTGTTTTTCTCACCCCCCCACCCTCTAGGAATAAGCAACCACAAGCACACACACAAGTGCATATGCGTGCACAGATGCACCAACACACACACACACACACACACACACTTGTGTACCCAAATATGGCACGGTAACACACGCGTGCTGCCTGCAGACTTTCTGGTCAGAACACTGATTTCTGCCGTTGTGACATCTGAAGGGTGCTACAGCACAGCCAGACACCTGGATACACATGGCATCTTTCACTACTGTGTGTCAAAGTCCACGTGTGTGTGCGTGTGATTGTTTGTGTGCTAGGTGTGCGTTAGGTGTGGGGGAAGGTGCCATGGAAGGCAGCATCTCCTGAGGGTAACTCATCAGCTTTTCCTGGATGGAGCACAAGTTCAGATGCTTGTGGCAATGTTGCATGTCCTCATTGACCTACATGATACAGAATACACACATACACGTATGTGGCACATACATCCGTGCAAACCTACATGTGTACACGGCAAGATTCACGCACTCACATGGGAGAGTGAAGTCATATGTGATCATGCAAATTCGTGTCAACGTTTATGAAGACTGGGCGGTTTATTGGGTTTGGGCTCTCATTAAACGTTGCTGAAACTCTCAAGGAATGAAGGTTGCCGAAGAAAATAAAACGTGCAAAAGACAACAGTTTATAATGCACGTACTGGACTTAATAATGTTTCTAAAACTGAGGTGAAATGGTATGCTAAAGCAGCCTTTCTCCTCTGGTTCATTTGCATGGTCAATAAATTTACAACTGCGCATAATCACAAGAAAAAAAAAAATATATATTTTTTTTTAGATAATTAGCATGCATGTAAAATTTATGTTTACGCTGTTAATTATCTGTGAACAGCGTAAGTCTAACAAAAAATCTGATGTGCAATATAGGGTCAGGAGGAGGTTATGTTACTCATGGATGGGGGGGGCGTGAAATACACTGGGATGTGCAAAACACATCTTATTTATTAAATGACAGATTATAAACATGGTCTTTTGTTTTTCTGTGTTTCAAATTGCCTCTTTGGGGATGCTCAAGTTTTCTAAGTCCACGTATCTTTATATAATATATATAAAACAGGTTAGAAACAGGCTGTCATAAATAGACATCGACCTGTATTTTCACACATATAACCTTAAACTGCTTTGATTATATTTCCATTCCTGTTTCCTGAGTAAGAAGCACTAACTTCAAATTTATTTAAATCTTCTGAAGACATTAAATAGCTGCACTTTCTTATTTACAGCTTAATAAAATCACATGGATTAAGATATAGCACGGTCAAGTGCCTAAATGATGATAGATATTAATGGGAAACATTTTTCACTTGAATATTCGATATCTTTTTCATCAAATTGTAAAAATGTGTTCAGGTTATGAAGTAGCCACTATATATCGGAGCTCTGTAAGCATATTCCTTTTGCACTGTGTTTGTAGCTGGCATGAGAGAGACTGCCTGCAGCTTGTGTGATGGTCTGTGGATATGTGTGGATGTGGGGGGGGGGGGGGGGGGGGGGGGGGGGGGTGGTTTTTTGGGGGGGGGGGGGGGGGGGGGGGGGGGGGGGGGGGGGGGGGGGGGGGGGGGGGGGGTGGGGGGGGGGGGGGGGGGGGGGGGGGGGGTCTTGTGTGTGCATGTGTACTTAAACCTCAGGCCATGAAAGTGTGTGTGTCTGTATGTGTGGCTCATTATGTGGATTGTGGTTGCATGTGGATGTATCGGTGCGTGTGTTTGTGTGTGTGTGCCTGTGTGTGCAGGGGAAGAAAGAGTGTAGGTGAGTGCAGAAGACAAACCTGTCAGTTTCACAGCTGGTTTCTCTGGCTGCAGGGCTCAGGCCGGAGCAGGGTGACACTCGGCATCACAGCACCACAGCACAGGGCCCGGGGTAAACACACCATCATATACTGTAGGCAGACGTACACACACACACATACCTTGGTTGGCTGCCCTCACCTTGTAAGACCAAGAGACCAGTGAAACACACCACCTGGGCAAGTCATCATATCTTGTCAAAGATTTTTTTTTTCTGTCTTTTTGGCTCGGTGGAGGTGTGAACAACATCACAGACCAGATTGCCTGGCAATGGACTGACCATCATGTTGTAAGGAAGGGGTGGGGGGAGGTTGAGAGGAACACAGAGTGAGAGAAATAACAAGAGAAAAAGTATAATGTAAGATGAGAATGGCTCTCTTTTTATTAGCCCTGTTGGAGGATGGAGCTGGCTTGTCTCCCTGCATCATGAGCCATGGTTGCTTGATCGGGACTATCATGGCCACTCTTGACGCATTATTGATGATAGAAGTTGATGTGGACTATTAGCTGGATGGTCCCTTCCTGCGTCAAGAGGAGACGGTGTTCCCATCCTTTGGTCTCATTTCGGGACGCGCTTCATAGTGTGTTCCCGAGCGAAGTGGACTCTCTGTGGGGAAAAGAGCCTCAGGCAGTCTCCCCCCCTCTCATCCCTCCCTCCAAACCAAAGCATCCCCCCAACCATCCCCGCACATTTCCATCTCCACAAAGATGGAAGTGATGGCAATTTCTTCAGGGTATTAGGAGGATGTTGACCCTTTTTTTTTTGTAGTTCTCATAACTGGTGCAGTTGACAAGCAAAAAGCACATCAAGGTAAGACAAAAAAGGACAGTTTTAGCACTGAGGTTAGGAGACATATTCATCCACAATGTGCAATGTCAACGTGTTAATTGTGATTCTGTAGAGCGCTCTTGAGCAGCACATAGCAGGTATGCTCAGAAAAATAAGCAGCCACCTTGTGAATTCTGTTGACATTTTGAGGAGAAAGATCCTAAGTGGAGTCAATTATAAAAATAAAGTAAACATGTTGACAGGAGAAATAAAACTGTGTTTTGACTGCTGCTGTCAAGGGAGGTTCCCCTGTCTAAAGTTTACACAGCAAATGATTATGCTTCAGTGATTCTGCCCTGGATATGTGTGTGTCTCTACGTGTGTGTGTTTGAATGTGTGCACTCAGCGATCAACTTCTGCTAAATACTAATTACTGAATACTTAGTACCGATGCCCTTTCTATTGGGTCCCTTTAGTATAAACATTCATTATGGCTCTTTTTCTCCTTTGTAGCCCCATCATCATTATTCCATCGCATCCCCCGAGGAGTGAGGCAGAGCCGAGGCCGGGGCCGGACCCGGCTGGGGGAGAAAACACTGTAGAACCAGAGCGCCAGGACCTGG